CAAAAAAAAAAGACTTTTTTTTTCTAACAGTCTGCAGAAGACAAAAGAAGCGTGAGGTTCCCCCCCAATTGATACCAGACACTTTAGGTCTGGTAGGAATGGTAGTAATGGTAGGAGGGACCTCCCCAAATCAAAAAACAAAAAAAAAGTGCGTGGGGTTCCCCCCCAAATCCATATGAGGCCCTTTAGGTCTGGTAGGGATTTTGAGGGGGGGAAAAAGTGGGGTCCCCCTAAAATTCTTGTGTGGTCGAACTCCTGCAATCTGGATTGCACAGTCATGTTTAACTACCTCCCGGCCAGCCGTTGTGTATACACGGCCGGCAGGGAGCTTCTTGGATGTAACTGGGCGTGTATACACGTCCTGTTACATCCGCCCGCCCGGGCGTGGCGCGCGCGCGAGCGGGAAATCCCCGCTATTTGAAAACAGGCAGCGATGCCCGTTATTATACAAGCTGTCAAGCTGGTCCCGGGCTCCGGTGTGAGCCCGGGACCAGCATAAGGCCTCTGTCACAGGGGTTCAGAGGGAGCTCGGTACACGAAAAAATGATGGTAAAAAAATTTAAAGTTTCCCCCCAAATTTTTTTAAAGTTACACAAAAAAGAATTAAAAAAACAAATTTTTTTTGAAAGTCCCCACCCCTCCATACACGCATGTAAACATGCGTCAGGTGCGCATACCTGCGAAAACGACGATTGCGCCCATTACCCATGTTACGCCCATGTTACATATCGCCGCGAACGTCGGAATGAGAGCAATAGTTCTAGGGCCATCAATCACTGATAACACTAAACTGATGAGCGGTAAAAGCTTTTAAAGCGTCGCCTATGGCCAATTTTGGGTATGCTAGCTTTTTGCGATTTTGCGAGTGCGCGCAATTTTTAAGCTTGATATGTTTAGTGTCTATTTACCCGACGTGACCCCGACTTTTATATTTTACCAAAAAAGTTGGTAATATTAGTTGTTTTATAACATAATGTAAAAAATTTTCAGTAATTTCTCCTGAATATAGTAAAAAATAAAACCCGTAGTGGTGATTAAATACCACCAAAAGAAAGCTCTATCTGTCCCCAAAAAATGGTATAAAATTCATTTCAGTACAGCGTTGCACGACAGAATGAATGTCAGTCAAAGTACTGCAGTGCTGAACACTGAAAAATGGCCTGGCCAGGAAGGGGGTCTAAACACCTGGTCTTCAAGCGGTTAAACATATTGGGAGGAAATCATAAAAACTGGACCGACTGTGCATGGCAACCAATCAGCTTCTCTGTTTTATTTTCAAAGCTTAGCTGAACAAACTGAACAGAGAAGCAATTGGGAGGAAATCATAAAAACTGGACCGACTGTGCATGGCAACCAATCAGCTTCTCTGTTTTATTTTCAAAGCTTAGCTGAACAAACTGAACAGAGAAGCAAATTGGTTGCCATAAGAAAACTGTCTACTCCAGTGTTCATGAATTCCCCCCAATTGTGCATCTGTTATAATGGGAAAGTGGCATTCAGAGTATAAAAATGGAGGTCGTCAGTACAATGCCTATCAGACTAAATATTTATTTTAGTTGGTGTGCTGTTACACAGTTTTAAGATATTACACAATTCATAGTCATAGTTGTTGTTCATACAAATGTGAAATGAGAATTTATATAGCTATTTTCCTTAAAGGAGAACTATGGGGTCAGTGTTTTTCCCCATAGTTCTCCTTAGGGTAACGGGAGGACACAAACTAGCGTCCTCTCATTACCCTAAGCTCAGTATACTGCGAGCTACAGCTCGCGGTATACTGAGACGCCGCAGCCAGAGCGGATCCCGACCTGGACGTCGGGATCCGCCCAGCTGCGTGAGTGACAGCTGGCTCTGCCTATCTAGAGGCAGAGCCAGCCGTACCCGCCCCCTCCCCCGTCCGTTCTGCCAGATCGGAGCGGGGAATCCAGC